GAGCTGTCACACGCAAACTTTTAGCAATGAAAGGACTCGGAATCACCTAGCTTAGCTACAAAGGTATCCCTTGATATCCTACGAAGATGTTCGCTCTCGTCGCAAGCCGACAAACTACAATCATTTCTTTAAAAGAAAAAAATAAGGAGCTTAATCGAATTTAAGAATGCTTAATGTGAATCGCAATTGATTTTTTTTAATTACCGCATTAAAAGGCACATTTAGCGACAATTTTGTGATAACTTAAAGCTATCGGTGCTCGAAATCTTTGGTGTGCCACTTACTTTCTTGTTTTTAATAATCAATCTAAACCATGAGGAAAGTATACTTCTCTTTTTCCTCAAAGAAATTTGCCATTAAATAACCTTGAATAAAAGAGAAATGCTAATGCCAAAAGTAGGTATGATTTGCAAAGCTTTGAATTGAATCCATAACAGATGTGTATTGCTAAGGGCAAGGATTACGTAACAGTATATAATGCTATGCAAATGTATGCAATATATACAAGTAAATATACAAAAAACATTCAATCGCATTCAAATTTTTCTGAAGAACAATGAACTTAAGCCAATTTTTCGCAATGCGTGGCCCAACTACAAACATGCATACATACATATTTACATTAGACCGTACCAGAAAAAAAAGTTCGCATACACCTTCGAATCCGAAGCATGATCACAAGGCTATTTCGAAAAAAGAAATATTTTTTTTTTGGCGATGTTCTTGCTTCTAGCAGGCAATTTGGTTGTTCCTAAGTTCATTGACCTAGTTTTAGGTCTTACCTACCAGAGAAAATGAAAGTTTTTAAAGGAAATTGTACAATACAATTTTTTAATATAATTTTGCTTCATACAAAATAAAAAATACAGTTGGGGTATTCACAACGGTGTCGTAAGTGTCGTAAAGTTTAAACGCCTAAAAAGTATACTAAAGGGGTTCGCAAATTACCATCAAAGTCATATTATGCATTTTCGCAGTAATAGTTGGTTGTGGTTTCAAGAACTCTAAAAATTTATTTAAGCTGTTAAAGTTTACGACATACAACAATGCGGCACTTACGACACCGCTGTGAATCCCCCAAGTATTTGTATATACGACTTTAAACGAAACATTCGCAAAACAAAAACTATCGTTATAGTATATTCACTTTTTTACTGAGGAGAAAAGACGAAATTAAAGAAAAGAAAAACGCCAAAAATCGGTATTTTCAAAATTTAACTGAAACATTATATAATATTGTCCCAACGAGTTGTGGTGCGACACAATTTTCAATAAGTAAAATAAAACTATGTAGACACTTTTAAAATAAAAACGTTAATTTATTTTCAGTCAATTAAGAAAAATATTTAAAACTATTTATAATTTAAAAGGCTACCTAGTAGCTATAACGAAAAACATTTCATATGTTTGCATCATTTGTCGAAAAAATTGTGTTCAGCTAAAAAAGTTACTTCAATATTCGGAAAAGGCGATAAAGTATATACATACAAACAATACCGCGATTCTAACCACCTACATAACTACATGNAAAAATTGTGTTCAGCTAAAAAAGTTACTTCAATATTCGGAAAAGGCGATGAAGTATATACATACAAACAATACCGCGATTCTAACCACCTACATAACTACATAGAAGGGACATTGATGATACGGTGGACTTCTTTGACCGAATAAAGCTTTGGTAAGAGTAAATGGTAACTAATAATTTAAAACTTTCTTATTTTAAATTACAGGATTTGACCAGCGTGAAATAAAATTAGCAGGCCCAGCTAGGAAGTATGTATATATGGTATATGTAAAACATCTGTATTTTATTTATTAAATTTTGTAACTTATTTTTAAGTATATATCAATATTTTTTTGTCACTGTATATACCAAATGACTTGTTGTGATTTAATAAAAATCTAATTTTAAAATCATATTTGAAAACGCATATTTTCAAAATGAAGAAAAAACATTTTAGGATTTAATTTCAACATGAGCATATTCAATTATCAAACGATTTTAAAATTTGCGTATTAAAACAAAAACATGGATTTTGGAAATTGAATTGAAAATTTTCGTTCTCAAAATTTAAATAAATATTGTAGGTACAAAACCTGGGTAAAAACGTTTTTAAAAGTAAAACGTTCCACACAAATTTGAAAACAAAAATTTTTCTGTGTACTAGGGATTCAGTTCCTATCACCCCAACGTACCACTCTAATGCCAATTGAAGCCAAAAGTCATTAAACTGTTGTTAAGGAAGCATTTCGATTCGAGGGCAATTTAGATTTTTTTTTCGCCATATCTTAGGCATTTATAGTCGGTTCTTAAAGTATGATATATAGATGTTCTTGTACGACCCTAATGTCCATAAATTAAAGCTCACCAGGAATCATTAAACTTTTGCTAAGGAAGTATTTCGATTATTCCAGTAGAAAAATTTAAAACAAAAATTTGTTGTTGCCGAATGTAGGTGTCACCGAAAAATGGTCGGCCAAAAAAAAATTGTTTTCCCAAATTGCCTTGGAAAATTACTTAGACTCTGGAGTGTACGGCGATTTTTTTTGTTTGTCTGCTTGGAAGGTGGCACGGTCTAATGTACAAATTCCATTTCTATACTTTTATCATTGATTAAATAACTTGCAAGTAATATTTACTGCTAATAAATTCACGAAAAGGCTTATTTGACGTCAATTTATAAGTGCAGATTAAGGGCCATTTAAGTTGCACAAGGAGGAGGAAACTATAATAATCATCCAGCCTGCCAAAGTATATGCATGAAATAATCCATTCCTCTCCGAAAAGGAATGATTTGCGAATTATACTTCCTAAACAGAAGAGAAAGAAGTAGGTCGAATTTTGATCGATAGTCTATTGTGTCGACCTATGCTGGCCATAGACATCCTTGACAAGTGAGTGCGGATAGAAAAGTTGTGGTTGCAATTTGCATCAATTGGAAATCAATAACGCTCATTTTGGGAATTTAGAACATACCCCTTCAAACTGGAAATTTTTTGAGTGGACTCCGATAGAAAAGTGTACCACTTCCCAACTAGCATAGCATCGTTAACTGTAACGAAGTCTTTGACTCAAAAAGAAATGAAATAAAAGTGAATTTTCTCAGTACAGGCAGAAAAATGGGCTAACAAGTAAATTACTGCACATGCTGAGACAGACACATCTGCATACATATGTATATATGTACATACAGTATCGGTCATATCTATAGCACGCCATTTCAAAGTGATATTGTGTGCAACTTATGTTTATATATTTATTTTTGAGAATTAAAATAAAGTTTTTTCTCTAACAAACCCCATATAAATCCAAGTTTAACAATTTGTAGAAAACTTTAAAAAAGTGCAACAAATTTTCACCTAAATTTCAAACTTTTTTCTCAGAAGTGTTTGAATTTTTCTGAATACACAGTTTTATAGCCCAATGAATTTTAGTCTGATAATGTGCAAGTTTCAAGTGACTGAAAGTTACCTTTGATTTTTTAGAATTCTTTTCTCCAAAGGTGTTGCGGCTTTCCTCCATATACAAATAAATTGAGTTTATTCATTATATGGAAGCCAATGCGACAAAAAAAATTCTAAAAAATTAACGGTACTTCGTACCTACTTGAAATTTGTACATTATCAGACTAAAATTGCAGGGGCTAAAAAACTGTGTACTCGAAAAAAATCTAATACTTCCGAGAAAAAAGTTTGAAACTTAGGAGAAAATTTGTTGCACTTTTTTGAAGTTTTCTATAAATTGTTAAACTTGGGTTTATATGGGGTTTGTTAGAGAAAGAACTGTATTTTAATTGAAAATTCTTAAAAATAAATAAATAAACATAAGTGGCACACAATATCAATTTGAAATGGCGTGCTATAGATATGACCGATACTGTACATACCTCACCTTCAAAAACAAAGCCCTGAAAGTTGCACAACTCCTCAGGCAGCCAGGTGGCATGCCACGATGGTAAACTTGGCTGGAGGTAAAGTGGCGGTTAACACAAAAGTCTCAAACAAGATTTGCATTCTTTTTAGTTTAGTTTTCCATAAATGTGTTTGTACATACAAACATGTGTATGTAATACATTTAATATCTACATATGTAATGATACTATGTATCCATCCCTGAATGCCATGAAGGAGGTGAGAATGCAAAACTTCAGACAGGGAATCAATTTCATGTTTTCAAAGACACGCAACAGCAAAAATACAGCGCAACAGTAGCAACAAATTAAACTAAACAAGACAACAACAAGAAAGCCAAGCTCTACATCCAAATCAACGTGTATGGAGTAGGAGGTACCCTAATGAATGCACGTGCATTTCGCTTTTGACAAGCAAGCAAGGCTGTAGGAGCAGACGGCGGTGAGTCGGTACGTACACCTTCTGACAGCAACAGCAGGAGGTTTCGGCAAAATGATTGTATTTTAATATAAATAACAAAGCAACAAAAAACTGCCGAACACATTGAGACAATGCGCCCCCTTCCCCCCCTCCACATATGTGGGTGCTTGGGAGTGGAGGCAAGGCAAGGCAAGGCAAGGGTTTTTGGAGTTACGCGAAATACAATTGCATACAAATTTGTTGCGACGACATGACAAAATATGACGAGGACGAATATGAGTCTATAGAATTTTATAGGCATTTATGTACATGCAGCATTTCATTTTCGCATTCACTCTCTATCGCGCTGCTCAACTAAATAGTTACTACTCGTCGTCGGTCGGTTACTTAATAATAATAAAGTAAAACCTTTTTTTGAATCGAGTTGCTCGCGTATTTATGCTACAAATTGGAATTCCTAAAGACTTTGGCGCATTCCTTTACATAATCGTCCTTTCGCTTATTTAACGGTACTAAGTACGGTAGCGCATATGCAAATAAAAATAGATATTTAAATTCCAACCATACGAAAATTCCAACGTATCGAAATACATAAATTTATAGTCGCGAAACTAGTTAACAGCAAATAAATGTCGTCGCTGGATGATTTGAATCAGTCCTTTTGTGGCAGTCAAAGTGAAATGAACATTTGGAAGGGAAAATTGTTGACGGATGTGCCATTCGGGCATGTTCTCATAGTGAGCGGCAAAGTGAAACCGAATCCGAATAAGTAAATATCGCACATTTTCGAGCATATTTTATTTGTGGATTTTTATATATTTTTCCTATTGTTTTTATTGTTAGAATTTGCTTGAACTTAACCGATAATATTAGGGGTCAAAATGAGAGTGAAACAGTTTACTTGAAAATTGAGGCGAATTTTAGAGAAAATCAAATAATAAGAAGCATGTTTATGCCCGGCGAAGGTTGGCAGCAGGAGGAGATATCGAAGAATTGGAAATCTGATGGACCGAAAAATCCATTGGTGCCAGGTAAGTACTTGTAATACCTTATACTGCATATTGATATGACTACAAGTGAGGGTCTACGGAGCGTATGAGTTACGTATCAGTTGCATGGCAATGTTGATAACACTGACCAACAAAATGTTGCGGCAGAGGTTTTAAGCGCTGATTCCTGTGGGATTTTTTCCGCAGATTAACAGACAGGACAGATTAAGTTATTCAATTGGCTATTTTTTTCGAGATATTTGGAATTAAAAGTGTCAACAAACGCGTTTTTTCCATTTTCTGAACTTTCGTTGTAGAATAACGATGCAATTTGACCTTATCTTTATTTCCACTATATCGCTCCGGTCTCCAAAGTTTTCGGCACCCATGAGTCTCATCTAGTCGCAAGTGATTCCGACTACTCCTGTTCTTCGCTGATCTTGCAGAAGTCATTAGAAGGCACCCTATTCTGTCCGCTTGCCTCTCCAAAAGTGATGTTACTTGTCAGCAGACTCTTCTCTGCTCAGCGTAAGGAGCTCCCTTTATGTTTCAAATCCCATTATGGCCACATGAATTTTGTCGTGTTACAGGTATCTAAGTGTTTCCATCTTGAACCTGTTTCAGAGAAGAATAATACTTGTATACTGAGCTTGCAGCTGGCAAGTGGTATGCACACAACCTCTACCAAAATGGCGAAAATGGAAGGGAAGTGCGTCTCCTTGCAAGCTCGTCCGCCATCTTACATTCGCAATCGGATATCCGGAAAACAAAATTAACGGATACTAACCTAAAAGGCTATTCCAGTTAAAACGTTTGCTTCGCGCGTTGCGTGTCAGATTGCACGAAGCATGCCACATATGTATGTATGTGTGTAGATCGTTCTCGCGATGAGTGAAACGAAAAGATGGCCAACTCTTATTTTTTGCGCGCGTTGACAGTCAGCTTGTTTAATTTTTTTATTCCGTTCAAATTCAAACCTTCATGCAGTAATATAAAACATAAGCACGTTGCTAATATCTTTAAAACTAAATATACAGGGTGTCCTAGACCACCCGTCCACCCGTCCACCCGTCCACCCGCTCTAAACTGGTGGGAAATGTTTTTTATTGGAAACCGAAAAAATTTGACCTGCTAATTTGGGGATGCTCTCCCTTTTGGTTGTATTGCCGACTTCCGTTTTCGACCGGAAGTGGCTTAAACTCACCGGAAGTCCATTTTTTTCAAAATAAATATACACACAAGTTGAACACACATGTTGGTCAAAATTTATTTGAATTGACAGCTAAGACGCAGGCTGCACGCCGTCAGGACAACATCTTAAAATTCTCGCTTGGTTCCTGTACACATATTAAAAATACCTTCAGTTATATCTCCCTGGCTATTTTTGACTAAATACCGAAGTATGGGAGCAGACTAACTGTGATCAGCTGTTTGACTTGACTTTCAAGTTGCCTCACGACTTGAAAGGAAAAATTGATATTCAGTCGACACTAAAGTTGTAAAGGTGCGAGTTTATTGCAACTTGCTTTCAAGTTCTTTATACGTGTAAACTAGGTTTTAGGAAACAGCATTAACACCAATAATAATGCCAGCCTTGAAATCAAACGGAGAATCACTCTAGCCAACAAGTGCTACTTAGTACCGAGTAGGCAATTCAGAAGTAAAGTCCTCCCTCGCCATACAAAAATTATATAGGTTATTTTCAGTCACTCATAATGCCCGTGCTGATGTATGGCGCAGAAGCATGGGTCCTTGGATTATTCGAAAATATTTTGCGGAAGAACTACTTGCCTTCACTTGTCATTTCCACTTGGTGTCAGTGGGCACTGAAAAAAACAACGGCTAGGTGGTGCAGTGCCCATCAAGAAGAAAACAAGAAGAGTGTCAGAGAAAATATAGATATTATAGTACCCGAATGCCGCCCTGTTCTCAAACACTCGAGGCTGTTTCAATTTTCACTAAGTTACTACCCAGCAAAGAGAGTTTCTTACGGTAGCGAAGCTTTGACTGTCACATGTCGCGCTCGAGTCGAGATGGTTTTAGGCAATTGTGTAGGTACATTCGAATTCAATTCAAATCGTTCCTTAAGGTTGAATATTACAGTATAAATAGCGCGTGCTCTCTAATTATCCCCTAACTGATAACTAACCAATGTTTGCTGGGTAATAATGTGGGCGGCCTGGCGTTCGTCGTATTGGAAGGCAATGTCTTTACTGCATCTAATCAAATATACTCAGGGCCCAAGTCATTCCAAGTCAGGCCCTCATATATTGTATATATGTATGTTATTTTGTATATGTAGTTTAATACTTTTAACCAACACTATGGATGAGTCGTGATTATGAAATTGTCCGCTCGTGCTAACCTCGATTGACAAATTTTTAGTAACAAAATTTAAACTGATTGTAATTAAGAATATGCATACATACTTATTTGTATACGTACGTATCTACATATTTGTAATATTGAAACAATACAGTCGCAAACCATTTTCGTGTGGTGGCCGAACCTATTAACTGGATATTGCACACAAGTATCTATGACGTTAATAAATAACTCACGTTTTATGACTTTAGTTTCTAAATAGCTAAATCTGCTTGCGGTTTTATGAGCTACAATTTAAATTTTTTCCTAACTTTTGTGTACTTCTTTAGGTCAAACATTCACATTTCGTATTGCTGTTCTGCAAAAATGCTTCGAAATTTACATAAATGATAATCTTTATGGAGCCTTCGAATTTTTAAAATTTCCCAAGCCGATCAATTTCGTAATGGTTTATGGTGACTTTGAGAAAATCACACAATTCCATCAGCGCATGCTATTTCCGTTGGTGTTTCCGAGAAGTTTGATTTGCCCGGAGAAAATTGCATTTCAAAGTGATGTACCGAAGAAATACGAAGTTGGTGAGAAATGAAGGAATTCAATATGCAAGAAATTTACAAAAAGCAAAACTTAAGTTACTCAATTATTTAAAGTTTCTTTTTAATTTTAATTTTATAAAATTTTACGAGAATTTCATTTTCGTTGCAACAGGTACCGTTGTCGCTATGGAGTGCATTGCCAAAGGACCACCGACCACAGCCTTTTCCATTTGTTTCCAGNTGGAATACCATTGCGATTCGCCATTGTTGGCGCGTGTCGAAAAACTGTCACTCATTTAATTGGAATGGAAAAATAAATTATGAAAGATACTGATACTCGCATTATGTAGCAAGTTGTTATATGTATGTAGGTATACCTATAGATTAGGGTGGGTAATTTTTTTTTGTCAAAAGGCGTATAGCAAAAAATAAAAATCTACGAGGAATTCTAAGAAAACTTCCGCAAGAAAGTGGGTGAGAAAAATGCGAAATGCGTATAGCAAAATCGAAATCTTCGCTACATTCTAAGAATATTACCCAAAGAAACTATGGGTCTAAAATAAAAACCTATCTCCCGAAGAGATACATAAAAATCTATGCAGTGGTTTTAAAATACCTGAAAACTGAAATCTTCATGCCTCTCGGCGCGGGCTAAGTTTTAATTTTCGACCCCTAGTTTCTTTGGGTAATTTTGTTAGGATTTAGCGAAGATTTCGATTTTGCTATACGCATTTCGCATTTTTTCTCACCCGAACAATTTGACTCACCCTAATATACATACATGTAAATATATACTTATGTGCATGTGTTTAAAAAATCAGTAGGGGCACTAAATTATCAAGTCACATCTAGTAGTTCTAAGTTAACCTAAAATATTTAATTAAATAATAAAATAGAAGTGTTAAATAATAAAACATTAAATTACATATTA